CCATTTTATTTTCAAACATTTTTTTATCATGGCTGACTTGTATTTCACAGAATTAAGTATTTCTGAATATTGTATTCAATTTGAAAAGCATTCAAATGGAGAAGAAAATATTAAATAATTTATTTAAAAAAAAAAAAAATGACTAAAAATTCTGAAATGCCAAATAAACGGTTTTTGAATAGAATAAAAAAAAATTTAAGAATTATAAAATATTCCTGTTTTAATCCTTTCAACATTTCAGACAAAAAGAAAGAATTAGATTTCTGTGATTTAAAAATAAAATAAAATAAAACAAATCTTTAAAAGCACTAAAATATTTTCTGACATTTTAATAGTGAAGTCTGAAAGAAAAAAAAATTAGAAAAGAATGAAAAATAAATAAATAAAGATATAGAACTTAAAATGGTTTCCAATTATCTTTTTAGTTTAGAAAAAATACAGATAAAAAAGATATATATTTTTTTTTATTTCCAGTGAAAAATAAATTTAAGTAAATGGACAAAAAAAGCAAGTCTTTATTTTTTTTTTAATTTCACTGAAATAACTTATTTCATGATTGAACATAAATATTGGACTCTCCAAAAACTGCTTATGTTCGTTGGTAAGTTTTAAGAAATATAACTTGGAAAAATTTTACAAAAGATTTTTAAAAATATTTTTACATGAATTGTTTTCACATTTATTAATATACTATGAATATTATTCCATCTTATTATTGCTTTTTGCAGATGAGGAATTATCATTATTATTGCAATAAGATGGAATAAAACTAGTAATAAAATAATAATAATAATAGAATGTTAGGATACATTCTATTATTATTATTATTATTTTTTTATTTCTTATTTATTCCATTCTATTATTTTTGTTACTAGTTTTATTCCATCTTATTGTTACTTTTTTATCCCAACATTCTATTATTATTTTGTTACTAGTTTTATTCCATCTTATTGTTGTTTTTTTTATCCCAACATTCTATTATTATTTTATTACTAGTTTCATTCCATTTTATTATTGTTACTTTTTATCCCAACATTCTATTATTATTTTATTACTAGTTTTATTCCATGTTATTATTGTTGCTTTTTATCCCAACATTCTATTATTATTTTATTACTAGTTTCATTCCATCTTATTATTTTTACTTTTTATCCCAACATTCTATTATTATTTTATTTTTTATTCCATGTTATTATTGTTGCTTTTCTATCCCAACATTCCATTATTATTTTATTACTAGTTTTATTCCATCTTATTATTGTTACTTTTTATCCCAACATTCTATTATTATTATTTTATTACTAGTTTTATTCCATCTTATTATTGTTACTTTTTATCCCAACATTCTATTATTATTATTTTATTACTAGTTTTATTCCATCTTATTATTGTTACTTTTTATCCCAACATTCTATTATTATTTTATTACTAGTTTTTATTCCATGTTATTATTTTTGCTTTTTATCCCAACATTCTATTATTATTTTATTACTAGTTTTATTCCATCTTATTATTGTTACTTTTTATCCCAACATTCTATTATTATTTTATTACTAGTTTTATTCCATGTTATTATTGTTGCTTTTTATCCCAACATTCTATTATTATTTTATTACTAGTTTTATTCCATCTTATTATTGTTGCTTTTTATCCCAACATTCTATTATTATTTTATTACTAGTTTCATTCCATCTTATTATTGTTGCTTTTTATCCCAACATTCTATTATTATTTTATTACTAGTTTCATTCCATCTTATTATTGTTACTTTTTATCCCAACATTCTATTATTATTTTATTACTAGTTTTATTCCATCTTATTATTGTTGCTTTTTATCTTAACATTTTACAATTACTTTATTAATAGTTAACCCCCAAAATTTTATTTTATTTATTCATATATTTGTAGGTTCACTTTAGGTCAAGTAGATGCCACTTAGAAAACCCGGTCTTCAAAGACTTTATCCTGAGACCAGAGAACAAAAACACTTGAGAATGAGATAAAATCACACCTCCCCACTCCAATCATAGTGCCATGTTAAAACATCTTTAGTGCAAGACATGAATGAAAAGCCATTCATTAAATAGAACACTGTACTTTATAGATTACTTCTACAATGCTTTAAAGGGAATGCTATTAACCTATGTTCACAAACAAGACCGCTCTATGAATTCTACCTTTAGTGGCTTTTGAGCCTTGTACTGAGTGAACATTAGTATTAAAAAAAAAGTTGTTGATCTACAGCCATTATTAAAAGAAGCAGTAAGATTATTTGAATTTCTGTGAGGGGGTTTTCAACTCCTATTTCTTTTCTGTCTGAATTTCAGGGATGAGGAGTTATTATTTACACTCAGACTATTATCCTCATCTTTGTTGTTTTCATCACAGCATTTCAGCCGTTACACTCTCCAGGCTTCGTCAGATGTATATTAATCTGGATAGCCTACAGGGAATTCAAAACTGAACCCTTTATTTAATATACGAGGCTAGACTGTTTTCATTCCACTGTCCATGTCTAGGTATATATCATCTAGTTCTCTTATTTAGTACTGTTCAGTTGTTGCTTGCCTGTTTCCACTGAGTGCAAATACACACTGCCCAACCCAGGGATTGAACTCACAACCACTATGTCACCAAATTCACAAACGAACACTTTTATCAACTAGAACAATCTGCAGTAGTAAATTTAGAGCCTTAAACCTAACCTAATGGCTGATTAGGTTGCAAACTCTGCTGCTGGCTGATTAGGTTGCAACTGCTACTGCTATGGTTGAAGGCTTTCTGTCATTTGTCTACCTTTGCAAACACAGTAAAACCATTTATCTAGAAGCATCTCCCTCTGCACCCCTTATTACTCTTTCTACCAACAAATTATTTTCATAATTCTATTTTTGCAAGGAATGAGTTCAAGATCAGCATTTAATGAAAAAAAAAAAAAAATAGTACAAGAGGAATGCCTTGACTGCTGACTTCATATATCCTGTGACGCAAATATAAGATCAGTGCAGTATCTATCTATAAAAGGCAGGATGTGTGTGTGTGTGTGTGTGTGTGTGTGTAATGAAGATTTGCCCCAAAATTTACATGCACATGCTCCAAGTTAGCGGGAAGGCCAAGACCAGCTTTGCATTTCCCAAATACCATCAATATTGGAAATAATTGATTTTTTCATGCTTCTATGGCAGTTTTCATGTAGTTTGCAGCCATTTTCTACTGGCCAGAGTGAGAGCCTATAGCTGGCTGCGACGAATAGGCAGGAAGATTCTCTTGGCCAGCGTGAGAGCCAACAGCTGAGTGACATGAATGTTAACTAGCATGCTAGCATGCAAAAAAAATCTAAAGCTGCATTCGTCACAAATGGGAAAAATTTAAATCTGCATGGCAATTTACTCCAATTGGCTCATTTGCTTGCTTAAAGTCAACATTGATTCTGATTCTGTAGAACTGGGTTAGGTATGAAAAAGTATTTGTTGTTAACATTCTTTTTTCATTCGTTTTTTCAATTCTGAGTCCTTTTTAAAGCTGATCGTTTTGTGTTCATTTTGTTTAGTTCTTTTTTTGTAACAGATTTAATGTTTAGTATAGAGCTTAGAAAAAATTTGCAGTGTGAGATAGGCAAGAAGTAAGGCATGTAACAACATCAGCACAGCAAAGGGCACTCCTTTAAAGGCAAAGAAGGGCAAAAATAAAGTCAAGTGATAGCGACTGCTGTATGAGTTGTACGATTTTTTAATCAAGCATGCGCAATGCTGGACCATGCTGCTAGTCTTCCATATAGTTCTGTTAAAGATATCTACCATCAGATGATAGTTTCTTCATTGAGAATTTTGAATTTTTAGACACATATCAACCCTTGTATAGATGTTTAGTGCTGAAATCTGTTTTTTATTCCACTGTCAACAAATGTTGGCTGAGTGGTTTTCACTCAAGCCTGCTGGCAAACATTGGCCAGGTCTGTGCTCAAAGCTGCCAGCAAAAATAGACCAGAGCTATGCTCAAGCCTGTTGGTAGAAATTGGGTGGATCCATGCTCAGGCCCACCGGCAAACATTGGTCTGGCCTGCAAACAAGCCCATTGGCAAAGATTGGCTGGGTTTGTACTCAGGCTCACCAGCAAATGTTGGTCCAGTAAGTACTCATCTTGAGGAATACTAACTGCATCTTTGTAAAAGCCCTTCAGCAAATGTAAATGCATTGCTAATGATTTTACTATAGGAATGCATTGAAAATTAAGTAGGAAGGGATTGTCAGTGGTCAGGAATGAATGCAATCATTACTGATAGAATAGGGCTAATATATGTATAATGTAAATGCATTGCTAATGATTTTACTATAGGAATGCATTGAAAATCAGGAAGAAAGGGATTGTCAGTGGTCAGGAATGAATGCAAGCATTACTGATAGAATAGGGCTAATATATGTATAATGTAAATGCATTGCTAATGATTTTACTATAGGAATGTATTGAAAATCAGGAAGAAAGGGCTTGTCAGTGGTCAGGAATGAATTAAAGAGGGACAGATGAAAACTCTGCATAATCTACCTAGTGAGCTTGAGTAAATGGATGGTGGAACAAGGTTTAGGAAAGAACAAAATACAAAATTTATTAAGAGGTACACAAGATAGGAAATTGTGGAGAGACATGATCACCTACATCCTGAAGGGATATGGCACAGAAAAGAAAAAGAAGATTTAACCATAAGTCAATATCATTTGATTATACCAGAAATTGGAACGGTCAGCTGAAAAAGATGTCTCTCAAATATGAGTAGTATGTAAAACGTTATGGGGAACAGTGCCATGTCACACAGCCAATCTTGCTCCCGGGAAAAGAGTAATTTGGCACGAACAGTACAACCTTGTCTTCCGGCATTCATTAGTCTTCAATCACTTGGGAATTGGCAGCCTGCAACTAATTCTTCACAAATTGGCAGACATCATTGCTGATATTAAACAAAAGAGAATTGCCAATAAGAGAAATGAGAGGCAGCATCAAATCTCACCTGGTATACCCAAGCAATCACCCATCAAGGTACTGACTAGGCTCAACATTGCTTAACTTCAGTGATCATATGAGAATTGGTGTTTCAACATTGATATGGCCGTAAGACATACCACCCGCACATCCCAATTACAAAACCTGGTATTCCCAAGAGGTCAGTCATATAGGTACTGACCAGGCTTGATGTTGCTTAACTTCAGTGGGACCATACAAGGACCACTGTTTCAATATGATATGTCTGTAAGCCATATCATCTGTACATTCAAGCTTATAGCATTAAGTATTCCCAAGTGGTCACCCATCTAGGTACTAACCAGGCTTGATGCTGCTTAACTTCAGTGATCATAAGTTTTTTAATATGATGTCTGTAAACCATCAAAGTTTACAGTACCTGGTATTCCCAAGCAGTCACTTACCTAGATACTGACCAGGCTCAACATTGCTTAACTTTGGTGATTGTACAAAAAATGTTGTTTCAACATAAGTCTGTAAGCCCTACCACCTGCTTACAGCAACTGGTATTCTCAAATGGTTACTCGTCAAGGTACTGACCAGGGTTGACATTGCTTAACTTCAGTGATTGTACAAGAACTGATGTTTTAATGTGATATGGCTATAAGCCATACCACCCACTTAGAGCACCTTGATTCCCATGTGGTCACCCATCTAGGTACTGACTAGGCTCAACATTGCTTAACTTTGGTGATTGTACGAGAACTGGTGTTTCAACTCAATATGGCTGTAAGCCTGACTTGTATCAAGTAAAAAAAAACATTGTTATTCTCCAAACATTATTAATGCAATATTCAGTTGCAAAGAAAAAAAAAATGAAAAGAAAGAATTATTTATACAATCCAAGATATGTTTTGGCTTTGAATAACCCACACAGGGTTGATAAACCGTAAAAAAAAAAAAAATTAATCAAAATAGGACTGCAGTAATTTCTTCAATCTTATTTGGTTTGCAGATGAGATAAGTAGCACTTTGGTATTTATACAAAATGGCAACCCTTATAATTATGACACCATTTTGATGTTGAACCAGCTAGTTCAGTGGTTCTCAACCTCTTTTTGTCCTTTTCATCCTAAGTCAGAATGTCATTCTCCCGCTTTCCAAGATTGCTCAACACAAAAGGTGCATTCCAAATAATATGCATATATTATTGAAACTCTTCATTCTTTTCCATATCAGTATATATACATGGTGGAGGCATGGTGGAGTAATGGATAGTGGCTCAGATTGAGGAATTGTTTCTCTTCTTGTATTTTTCACTTCTAGGACTCTTCTTGTTTCTTGCTTCTCCGACACCTACGCACTTCAAAAATTCAAATGCAACATCAAATTGCCATCTTCTGTCTTCTTAAAACCCTGTTCCTTTATTGTCCTTTTCCTCACTAAAGTCTTTTCATTCTCTTTCACTTCCAGTATCCCACTGAACTTTAGTATCATCATTGCCTTGCATGGGGTGAAATGATTAAAAAAATAAAAAGAAAGAAAAAAAAAAGAAAAAATGTTTATCGTCTTGTTTCTCACAGTGTCTTGGGAAATAAATTTTTCTGCTTTTTTTTCCACCCCACTAATATTCAAATCACATTGTCAGGAAAAAGGTGTGTCATGTTTTGCTTGTAATTTAGAACTTTCTTTTCTGCCTGAATTTCTGAGGTGATATGTTGTTGATATTTTACATTGTTTCTTTTAGACAATTTCTTTGACTGATATCTATGTCATCATTGTCGTTTCTCGCAGATGACAATTTTATACTCTTTTTTTTCTTGTTGCACATGGTTAACTTTATGGGCTTCCTCATGCAGCACCCCAGCAATGGATTAAAAAGTAAGATTTAACTGGAAAAATCATTGTTGTTCTCAAAAAATTGTTACTGCAATATTCACTCATAAAAAATTATTCTTATAAATATTAAGCAACCCGAGTACTGGTCAAATTCATGTTTTTTATATATATATATATATATATATATATATATATATATATATATCCATCCTATAGTACAAGTGAGGCCACCATTGGTAATTTTTTAAAATGGTCCATAAAGTAGTTGTTTTAAACTTTAAATAAGAAAAAATTATTATATATGGTTAAAAAAAAAAAAAAAAAGTGAGACATGAATTTTTATTAGGAATTTTATTATGGGAAAAAGGAAAAAAGCATTTTATCATTAAATTTTGCTCTCGTCAAAATATCCTCCTTTAGCCTTGTTTACTGCAGCACAAATTTTTGGTATTTGTTGCAAATATGTCAAGTTCATTTCATGCTAATTCTGAGGGCTGCTTCAAACTTTTGAACTGTAGTGTATATATATATATATATATATATATATGAATTAGGCTCAAATACAGACTGGAATCTGACAGAATGATAGAATAAAGAACAAGTAGGAAACGTTTATAAACATAATATGTTTTGGATTTATTAAAACTTCAGAGAATGAGACAAAAATACCAAAAGTTTTTCCTCATCTCATTCTCTGATGAAGCTTTAATAAAATGAAACGTGTTAAATTTATAAACATTTCTATTTGTTCTTTATATATATATATATATATATATATATATATATATATATACACACACACGTTATGTATATATATATATGTCGAGAAGATCTGTTAAATTAGTGTTTTGTGGATATATTAATGATGAGTTGTCGATGTATCTGAAATAAGAAGAGTTTGTCAGGAGAATGTTTTTGAATGGGTCACTTCCTAGAAATTCTAAAAATAGACAAGCAAGAACGCTAATTTGACAGATGTTCTCTACCAACTTAACAATGTTGAACCTAAAATAGACTTCACTTTTGAAACTGAAACCAACTACACTCTTTTGTTCCTAGATATCATATTACAAAGAAATAACAACATGCTCAATTTTGATGTTTACAGAAAGGCTATAAGCAAAAATGATCCGATCAGTTTCTACTCCAACCACTCTTCTAATATATATATATATATATATATATATATATATACACAATAAAATAAAGAACAAATCGGAAATGTATATCAACCTAACATGTTCCACTTTCATTAGATTTTTTTTATATTAGTTTTCTCTCAATCTGATGATAATATAAAATGCTTCCCATTTGTTCTTTATTTTATTATCCAGTTGGATTCTGATCTGCATTTGATCTTTAACTCTCTCTCTCTATATATATATATATATATAAATAAGTTCCATCTATCAATTTTTTTAAAAAAATGTTTCAAATTTCCAAATAAGTTGTTTTGTGTTATCAGTAAATTTGCCAAAATTCATATTATCTTTTATTTTAGACTCCCCCCAGCCTGAGTACTTCTGAATGTTGCTACATACATTTTCAAGAATTGTTCTTGCATGTAGTTACAAAACTGTTTTTTTTATTCCAGCATTTTTACATTTGATGGAACCAATTTCAAGTCACATATAAACGGTCAAACTGAAATTTTTATTTGTGTGTCTTCAAACATTTCAATATACAGTCCCCTATGTAGACAGACATTTTATTTAATGTTGGCTGCTTCTCTTATTACAACAGCCTCCAGAATTTAGAGGCTTTCTTTGCTATGTGTGCTACATAAAATTTTGATTTTATCTACTAACAGATAGAATAAAATTTTATATAATATAAAATAAAAGTTAATACGAATTTTTGCAAATTTAACAAGAAAACAAAACAACTTTTTCATAAATTAGAAAGATTTAATAAAAAAGATTGACAGACAAAACTTGTTCATATTATTTAACAAAACATGTTTGGGAGAATTCTTGCTGCCAAAATAGACCTTATATATATATATATATATATATATATATATATATATATATATATATATATATATATAATATATATTTTAAAATATGGTTACATCACTACACAGAAATTACCAGGTTTCAAAACAGAAACTAAAATTTTAAATTTAATTATAAAATTAAATTCAAAATCAATCAACGTGTGTTCCATTCTTAAGCAATTTTTGAAATCAGTATTAAGAAAATTATTATTATTTTAAAATAATAATAATTTTCTTAATACACACACATAAACGTATACACACATACATGCAAATACACACACACACACACGTGTGTGTGTGTGTGTGTGTGCACATATATTTATAAAATACACATATATATCTATCTCTAAAAATATACACAGGCACAAAACAACAAAAATATATGTACATAGATAGGAGGATTATCAGATAATAAAAGTAATAACATACTAAACTTACAGTAATATTGCCTTATCATCAAAAATAATACTAGCACTATAGTAAGTTAAATTTTGAACTATGTTTACAGTTAACAATGAGTTCATTCCTTTGATTTAAGAGATGGGTCTTGTCTTTAAATTTAATAATTTCAAACTCTTCATTAAAACATAAATAACAAGGGGTATATAGAAAATTACATGTTTGAGCTCTCTTAATTAATTTCTATTTAACAGTAGATGTCTTATTTTTCTCCTTTAAACTCCCAAAATACTTAGATAATGAAGTCTTGTATATATATATATATATATATATATATATATATGTGTGTGTGTGATTGTGTATATATATATATATATATATATATATATATATATATATTATATATGTGTGTGTGTGATTATATATATGTATATATTTGAACATATATTATTAACAGATAATGAATGTCTATTACATCTCATCATGAGCTGTTCGTATGTTTGCTTTAATTTCTGGCGAAAATAAAGACAAAAATTGTCCAACATTTAGATATTTTCTTATTAAGTTGCTTCTAAGGTTTCGGCTCACATGAGCCATCCTCAGAGTGGTTATACAGACATGAAACAAAGATATCCACCATCAAATATGATATTTTGTTATTTTGACAAAATATCATTTAGGACCACCTTAATAATTGAGTGTCTGGCTACAAAATAAATATACAAACTCAGTATCACCTTAAAGGGCAGTTGTGTGTATGTATGTGTGTGCGTATATTATTGACTTAATATTTTTCAGCCATCATATGGAAAATAATTTTTTTTTTATTCAATCTTTAAAAAATCAACTTCATTGCTTTTTGGTTTGTAACTGACATAAAAAAAGTAATAATTTTCAATTAAGTTTTATTAAATCAAAAAATTCTAACAAGCATTATTTTTTCAAAAATTAGTTTTAATAAAATATAGTGAAATTTATAAAACAAATATTCAAAATGACTAATGTTGACCGTAAGTAATGTCTGCCTCCGCTAATTTTTATTTAACTTTAATTTTTTTTTGTTTCAAATACAAATATAACTTTAAACATAATCGCTTTTCAAAACTAAATTCTCAATGTATCTTGATTCTAGCCTCTTCCAAAATAATAATTAATGTTTAAAAGTAAAACTTAAGAAAATTTAAATTCCCCTCCAAAATAAATAGTAAATAATTAGTTTTTTGAAGATAGTAACACTCACTATAGTTTTTGTTTGAAAAAAAAATGATTAAATGTTTAAATATATCTTAATTTAAATTTATTTACTTTTTATTAATAATAATTTTAAAAAAGGTCAATGAACTTTTATGTAAGTTTGATTTGTTTGAAAACAACATGAACAGAGTATTTATGTTCATATTTAAATAAATAAAGTGTCTTTTTGAATAAAAATATAAGGATGCTCAACTCCCTAAGCTCCCACCCACAAAAGTGGTATGGTAGTGTGGTATTTTCCTAAATTTAATCATTTTAAAACAAAAAAAAAAAAAAACAAAGAATGAAGTTTATTTTTTAAAGATTGAATAAAAAATTATTTTCCATAAGATGGGTGAAAAACATCAATAAATTGTCAATAAGAAACTATTATTCAGAGATCTTCCGAGCAATGCCAGGTATCCCTGCTAGTATATAACATAGATTTTGAATGAGTAGGGAATATCTTAAAAGACTTGATCAGTGCATAAAGCCAGTTTACAGCCCATAAATTGGTATCTACTCTCTTGCTGTTTTGTAAACATACTTTCAAAAGAATAACAGCCTCTCGTAAGATGAATTATTTCACCTGTGGCAATGAACAATTGAAATAGCTGACTACTTTGTGGACAGACCTTGTAGAACTCTCCACTATTTGTAATGTTGCCTTTGGTGCAAGCATTTAACAGATCACCGCATTTTCCTGGGAAAGTAAAGCACATCGAAAAGGCTGCATTTCTGGAATGGCATTCAACTCTGGGGAATACAAAGTAAAAAGTAATGGTGGAAATAAAAAATGAAAAAAAAGGGTGAAACCAGAATGAGAAATGTGTGGATAATGTATTACAGATTTTGTATAGGGGTCGGTAACAAACAAAATAATCTATCAATCAAAAATGTGCTTTTTCTTACATCTAGACATTTATTATATACCACATACCAACCATCATTCTTATTCATATGCCATATTTACTTATTTGTTTTCTTTTTGGTTTGTGTTATAATCAATAACTAAATGATCAATAAATAAATATACTTCATAAACATGGAACGGTTCAAAAGTAAACAGAAAAAATAAAATAAAATAAAAGGAGTTGATGTTGTCATCTAATAAAAGAGAAATTCTACTTTGAGAACAAGACTACAAATACACTTTACCAAGTATGAAAAAGAAAAAGAAGAAAATATAAGTAGGAGAAAAAAAGAAGAAAAATACAAGGAAAATAAAAATAAAAGAAAAACCAGAAAAAAATGATGATGTTCCAATGTAATATAAAAGTCTAACTTTGAGAATTAAATTTCAAGTACACCTTAAAAAGAAAAAGAAAAAAAGATAGAAAGCAGTTGATGCTCCCATGTAATAAAAGAAAAGTGTCTTTGACACTCAAATTTTAAATACCCCTTACAAAGTAAAAGTATAGAAAAAAGAAGGAAAAAGGAGAAAAAAAAAAAAAGGAAAAAAAGAAAAAAGAAAAAAAAAAAAAAGAAAAAGAAAGAAGAAAAAAAAAAGAAGAAAAAAAAAAGAAGAGAAAAAGGAAAAAAAAAAAAAAGAAAAAGAAAAAGAAAAAAAAAAGAAAAAAAGGAAAAGAAAAAAAGGAAAAGAAAAAAAGGAAAAAGAAAAAGAAGGAAAAGAAAAAGAAGGAAAAAGAAAAAGAAGGAAAAAGAAAAAGGAGAAAGAAAGAAAAAGGTGAAAGAAAGAAAAAGGTGAAAGAAAGACAAGGTGAAAGAAAGACAAGGTGAAAGAAAGACAAGGTGAAAGAAAGAAAAAAAAAGAAAAAAGAAAAAGAAAAAGAAAAGAAAAAGTAAAAGAAAATAAAAAATAAAAAGAAAGAAATTAGAAAAAGGTTAAAGAAGAAAAGAAAGAAAAAGTAAAGGAAAAAGAAAACAAGAGTTGATGTTCCCATCTAATAAAAAAGCAATTCCAAATAAAGCTCACAAAGAAGAAAAAAGAAAGAAAAAAGGAAAAGACAAGGAAAAAGAAAAAAGAAAATACCTAAATTTCAAATACACCTTATGAAGAAGAAAAAAGCAAAAAAAAAGTAAAAACACAAGGAAAAAAAAAAGTAAAAACACAAGGAAAAAAAAAACAGTTGATGTTTCCATCTAATAAAAGAAAACGTCTGACTCTGAGACCTATATTCCAAATACACGCATCTCTTTTACAAAGTATTCTTTTGTGTAATCCTGTGATACTCAAAGTGTGGTTTGCATACTGGCATCAACACACGAACCATAGCCTTTTGGCACATGACTGACAACAAAAGAGCTAAGATGATTCTGAAAACCACAGCACCTTTTTTTTTTCTTTTTTCTTTTCCTTCATAGATTAAAGAAAAAGCAGAATATCTTGAGCTTTGAAAGCCATCCTACCAAACATCTTCACATAATTTTGCAGGACTGGCTTCTCTACCAGCAGAGTCATTCAGACGAAATACAATTGATATTCATTCCTCATTGTGTGGCTTATGACCACATGAGAAAACACAGGTTCGCATCTGATCACAGAAGTTAAGCATTGTTGGGTACTCAGATATTGATGGTCGCTGAGGAATACCAGTTGCTGTAAGCTATGTGACAGGCCTAGCAAGCTGGTAATACATACAATCTTGCTACTTATACGTCTGGAGGTGCTTCTCAAATGGTCACAAAACCTGCCTGGAGTTGTGTGAGTGGTGATAAGAGTACCAACTATGTGGGCGTGGTGTTGTCTTCAACTGAGCCAAGATTGGATGAAAAAAGTTGGTTTGCCTTTTATATTAGAAAAAAAGCTGATATCTGTTAATGCTATTTTTCATTTTATTACTTACTAACAACTTTATAATATTTTTGATAGCCTGAAGAAGAATGGGTTCCATCAGATTATTTTGCCCATCACACACCTCCCTGGTCTTTTGAACAGGAGTAGAGCTTTATTCCTTCAGTACCTGTCTATATTTCTGAGATGAGCTATTGTAATAATTTACATTATTTACATCATTCAGACTGTTGTCCTCATCTTTATTGCCATATTCATGACAAATCAGTCCTGAAGGACACATAGCCCAGTGGATAAAAGTGATGGTTGGATCCAATGACTTGACCCAAAGATTTGTAAGTTCAATACCTGAATAAAAACTTGGAGAGTTACGTTAAACTGAGGCATCCCAAAGAGGCATGGCATGTGGAACTATAACAATCTATATCTATAAAAGGCAGAATGTGTGTGTGTGTGTAATGAATGCAGGGCTGCAATTTTTGACAGATTTGCACCAAAATTTACATGCACAAATATGTACAAATAATCAATTTTTCATGCTGCTATGGCAGTTTTCATGTAGTTTGCGGCCATTTTCTACTGGCCAGAGTGAGAGCCAATAGCTGGCTGCCACGAATAGGCAGGAAGATTCTATTGGCTTGCATGAAAGCCAACAGCTGACTGACACTAATGTTAACTAGCATGCTAGCATGCAAAAAAAAAAAAAAAATCGATAGCTGCATTGGTCACAAGTGGGAAAAATTTAAATCTGCATGGCACTTTACTCCAATTGGCTCATTCGCTTGCTTAAACTCAACATTGATTCTGATTCCATAGAACTGGGTTGGGTGTGAAAAAGTATTTGTTGTTAACATTCTTTTTTCATTCGGTTTTTCCAGTTACGAGTCCTTTTTTAAAGCTGATCGTTTTGTGTTAATTTTGTTTAGTTCTTTTTTTGTAACAGATTTAATGTTTAGTATAGAGCTTAGAAAAAATTTGCAGTATGAGTAAGACATATAGCAACATCAGCACGGCAAAGGGGACTCCTTTAAAGGCAAGGAAGGGCAAAAATATTTTAAGTCAAGTGATAGCGATTGCTGTATGAGTTGTATGATTTTTGAATCAAGCATGGGCAACAGCGAGCCATGCTGCTAGTCTATCAATAAAAGGTTCAGTTCGAAATTCCAATCAACTGAACAAAGCCAGAGTATACAATGGTCAAAACATTGTAAATGATATGGTAATAAAGATAAGGACAACAGTTCAAACAATGAAAATAGGTTTATCCCTTGTTTCCTGTTTAAGATTAGGTTTCCAGTTCCTTCTAAAGTCTTTTCATTTTCTTTCACTCCCAGTAGACCCTTGTTTCAGTCTTATTATTGCCTTGCTTGGGGTGATCTTATCAAATAAAAAGTAAATGCAGAATATCCTGTGGTCACTGAAGTCCCAAGAAACTGGACTCTAGATCAACTTTTCCAAAACAGAAACTATAATTGCATCTAACCAGAATCCATCATAAAAATTCAGAATTTGGAATTAGTAAATACTAAACACTTCAAATATGTCACCGTATGGATCAATTATAACAAATTTAGGATAGAAGTTTAGAAAATTGAACATAGAATAAGCTATGCTCAGGTTAGTTTCACCCAACCTTACAAATTACTACAAAACCAAAATATTAACCTAAAACCTTGTTGAGTCACATTCTTAAATTGCTTTGTCAGATTGAGACTTCCATATGGATGTCATGCCTGTAGAACAATTATGTTGTCAAGATAAACACTCAGTTGTGGAACAAGCTGAGTGAATGAACACTCCACCTTGAGAAAGAGAGCTATTTATGGTGCCATGGAGTATCTCATTGTGCTCAAGTGGGATAGTCCATTGCTTGGGCTGTAATTGGCTGCTGGTACATGAGTGGAGGTATTTCTGTATAAATACCAGTTTGATTCCAGTCAGTTTGCGGGGTTTGTATTGAGTTACAACCTGCTTTATTTTTGTCTGCCAACTGGATGCTAGCTGGACCCTTACGCCAGTAAGTGTTATTATTCTACAATGCCTTGTGCCAAACTTGTTCAGAAATATCTAAAATGTCAGCTATATACAAATGCTTTCTTAGATCAATGATTAAAAATGGCTTTGAGCAAATGAAGCCTGTGGATTTTGATGAGGAGTGTCCTTCTTCGGACATTGTGGACCAGTACTACAAAATCATAAACAAAGAAATTTACCAAATAACAGAAACCACATCACTTGGGGACTTTCAATGGCAACAACAACTAAAATGGATAGAATATGTAACTCAAGGAGAAAATAATGGCATAATCATGATGTTGACATTCCACACTATCCCAGACAAAAGACAAGTAAGGAAACCTCCATCAATACTAGAAAGAGTGATAACAGCTAGTGAACTTGAGAAACCAATTTTCCAGAAAAATTGTTTTGAGGGACAGATTTTATAAATTTCAACCAAAAGTAATAATGGCTGCTCAACCAATGAATGGTGAATTTTTTCCTTATAAGGAAATGGCTAATATTACCATTCCTTTTAACATACTTCTGTGAGATTTAGAAAAAATACAATTGATGTCAATTCTAAATTGTGTGAGGTATTGTCTTCACCTGAACCAAAATTGGATGACAAAGAAATCGGTTAATTTTCAATATTAAAAACAGGCCAATATTATTGTTTTTAATCTAATTTAATCATTAGAATTTGTTATCTTAATATCTATTAACATCTGATAAGCAAAGACGGATGGGCTCTGTCAGGTTATTTTTTTATCCAAGATGCACCATCAATGGCCCTGATGGGTTAGAAGTCTCATGATCATTATTGTGAAGATTTATGCCGAAAGTTATGCTAATCTGTTTTATTATTTTTAGTTGTTTTGTATTATTATATTTTGTGATAAACTATAATGGCCACATGCTTGTGAACAAGGTAGGACACCTAGTTGGAAGACATCCACTGTGGTTTAACCTGGAGAGGGATGGGCAAAGGCAGGTTAAAAGCCTACGACATGCCACATGATGAGTAGAGGGACTGATTTTCCTTTTGAAATGTTCCTTAAATTCTGATTTAGGGAATTCAGTTTTTTTTTCAGTTTTCAATTTAGAATTCTCCATTTTCAGTATAGATTTCTGTTTTTGCTTCATTATAATAAAGTGTAACAATATATAAATATTATTAAAATAAGAAAACAGAAAAAAAAAAAAATTTTACTCTCTGGAATATCCACGCATTGGATAAGTTGCTCCAGCTTGATAGGCTTTGATACCACATACTTCAGACCTTTGTAGGAATCCTTCTACTCGGGTTTTTGTTAGATGTCAAGATTCAGAGTATCAATATTTGATTCAATAACAAAATATTGTTGCAGGACTGCTTGTAATTCAGCCATTTAGAATAATCCTGCAATTTTCATTAAAAGAATAAAATCCAGTAGAAAAAGACAATGTACTATTAATAAATAAACATTATAATAACGACAAGAATACAAGAAGTTGGTTATAGATTTGAAAGTAATTTCTTTTTGATTTTGTTAATAAGGTTCTGGAATAGAATATAAATTGTATTTGTGTATGTATGTGAGAAACACTGAAATGTTATACGTGTGTTTGAGTATGCATGTATGTGGTTAGTAGTAACTCGGGGCATACAAGAGATAGAATTTAGGTCTTACTGTAAGCTTTGTTACCATAATTTGGAGCAGTCTCTTTGCAGTTTGTCAGCATGGTAGCTTTTTGCATGTGGATGTGAATGGGTTCTTGAAGACAAGCAGCTAGAGTGATGTGGATTTCTGTGCATTTTCTGCTTGAGGCCGGACTTCCTGAGTTTTATACACTTTTTCATAAGAACATTGGTTCCAGAATTATATTATTTATTTCTTCCTAATTGGCCCTAAAAAACCACGTGGTATGTCTTCTAATACATCTGCACCATATTTTGGTATTATCTACCTAAATCATGAAGAAATATTTTAGTAAATATTTTCGCACACGACTCTTTAATCTAACTGGATGAGTTTCTGGGATAATGCTTGCAAAGAATGCTACAATCCTAAATAAGAATTGAGTAAAAATGGCAAAACCTACAGGAAAGTAGTACCACAAAGTCTTATGGGAGACAAAAAGCTACATGATCATTTGGTTACTTTATTGAAATTATTAAATAACATTTTTGAAAAAAAAGTTTAATTTATAAAATATGGCTTCCTGACATGACAAACTGTTCCCCAACTCCATTAAAATGTCTGATAAGAAAAAA